AGAAGGCCTCCCTGCCTCTCCGTTTGGGACAGGCGGTACTAAGAGGCTCCCTGGGATTATAAATCGCCACTTTTCTGAACAGTCCATACGTACTGAGACATGCAAAGATAGGCTCGAAGTGAAAAGCACTGCTCTCTTGAACAAGAGGGAGCACAGCTCCCAAGGAGCCCTCCTCTGCTCTGAGGAAGGAGGAATTTCACACAGATTGGCATGACCAGAGCGTTTTCTGCACATGCGATGTGCTGTGCTCCCCTGGGGTGTTCGGCCAACAGAAAAACTTCTGTACGCTATAAATTCAGCTTAGCAAAAGGCCATTTCCCCTCTCTTAAAGAGAAACAAATCCCACTTTCTGTCCTGCGAGTGCTATCAGACATGAATGGCTCAACTGCCAAAAAACCGCATCTGTTTCTTCTTCTCCTTCCAGCGATATCGTTTGATCCAAGGCAGGGAGGGGGAAAAAAATCCCTCTCCTTAGAAACCTCACCTTCTCTGAGATCTGCATTTCAGCTTGGGGCCATGTACTCCACTTACAGTCAAACTCAGACGCGGTGTAAGCTGAGACTCAGCGCAGTTCATACTATGGATAACTTTGGCTCACTATTTTTTTTTTTAGTTCTGTACTTGCAAACAATGATTAGCCTGTCTCCACGCTGTATTACTTACAGAAGCCCAGATTAGAATGAAGTCTGTAGAGTTTCTGTAACAAGCTAGTAGTGTTAAGCGTTACAGCACCGACAGATAATTAAAACCCCAGCGAGTTCAACAGCACTTCTGCTTCCATTCAGAATTTTTTTTTTCCCAGGGGACTTCTCATTAAAAGTGAATATAAATGTATCATAAACATACACACAAAACCTAAATTTGTGCCTCGGTGCCTCAGCTGGCAGACAAGACTTCACACTAGTGGAATTTCTTCAAGTGCTTCTAAGTGCAGGTTAACTCGTCACATTGTGAAAAGATTGCACCTTGCTGCTTGAAAGAAAACCAGGCTCTACTTTTGAGCAACAAACATTTTCCTCTAGCAGCATGCACACCTACAACCTTTCCCCCACACTAGGTAATAATTAGTGGTTTTTACAAGGATCGCTTACTAGAGTGCAATGTCCTACATGCCAGTCCCATACCAATACAGTACAAACATGGTGACAAATCTAAAAACCATGCACAGCAAAACTTTTCCTATTAAGCCAAATAAGCAAAAAGGGATTTTAGTCACCAGCTTGAATAATTCCTGCCAGAAATCATCACCACCTGACTATCTTATTTTAAGATTCACGTGCAAGGAGCTCGCTGAATCTCACGGTGTTCTGAAAATGGCTGTCTGCACTCAAACCGAACAACCAGCCTCTGGCTTGACACGTCGGTACAGAGATTACAACCCTCGCCTTTCTCAAATTCAACAGGCTGTTCATGACCAAGGGAGCTCCGCTGATAACTTCAGTGGCTCTTGATAGCAACTCAGTACTTGGCACTGATAGGAGTGTTGGTTTAGGAGTCATTACTCAAGCCCAGACCCAAAGTTTAACTTCAGATTCCCAGCGTGCTAGTTACACCCTACAGAAAATACACGTTTTAAGAATTAGAGGCGATTTACTCTCCTTTAAGAGATCTGGTTTATGTTATTTCTCTCCCAGCATCTGGTTTCCCTTTTGCACAATGAGATTGCCTAAGTTTGGCTGTTTTAAAGCCAGGATTTTAAGAGGCTGGCGACTCAGACCGGAGCCCTCAAGCCCCAGAGCTGTCTGGAGCCGCCTGTTTTTTCTTTCCCACCTCATCTCACCGCTAATCTCGGCAATAAAACCCTGCCCAGGGCCGCCGGTCCCTACCTGGCTGCTGAATTTTTGCCTTCTGTCGCAGCAGCAGGCATGCGAGCATCTACCATGAATGCAATTATTCTAATCCACATAACAACAGATGATAAAAATAACAATACTCCAAAAAACCAACACCCTCAAAAACCCAACCAATC